TCGGAACCAGTTGGACCCGTTCCCCAAAAGTCAATTAATACAAACTACTTGTAGTCATCAATAGTTGCATCATGTAAAACAGCGTATTTCCAATTGGGAATACTCATGAGCTACTGTGTGCAAAGAAACATTCACTTAATTCACTTCATATTTTGCAATAATGTGTAGTGTGCTAGATGTATAGTTTATGGTAGGACCCGGTTGGACCCGTCAGAAAATTTCCAGGAACCGGTCTGGACCCATATGGGTCCAGACTGGTTCTTTGGACCGGGTCCTCGGGTCCACATTTTGCCACCTCTAGCCCCTAGTCATCTGGAGGACCAGGTCGCCTGGGAACCCCTGGCCGACTGGGGGCCCCTGGTCGTCTGAAAGTACGCTTATCACCTGATTGATCCCAAATCATCTGAGTGGCTACTAGCTACTGGATATAAGTTTCACAGTGCCGGAGATATCACAGAAAAACAAAAAGGCTAAACTGAATACCCCCCAACCTTGGCCCCAAAGGCGTCATTGGCTAACACAGGGATGTGGGTCGATTTGCAATCGCATTTCCTCCTAAGTCCTATTCCTCCAATTAATACAGAGTGTCCCAGAATTACCCAAGCATTTATTTTCTGGCTAAAAGTACAATTGCGCCCGTTTCCTAGTGAAACATATAATAACCGCGTTTACATAGGGCTAGTTGCCAGATAGTGGAATTCCGATAACGAGACATTTATTCCCCACTATTATATTATATACCTACATATCCGGAATTGGAGGATGTTCAGTAATTGAGGCTCTCGCTCATAAAATGCCGTGCGTTTCATGCACACTCCTCAAGCAAAAATATTTTTACTTTCCAATTTTCCACATTTTCTCAAGGCTTAGACCGTTACAGAGACCGTTTTAATTGACTTTGATGAAGTTGAACGCGAGAAATCACAACCAAATGCTACATTAGGTTGTAAAGAACTGAATTGCGTTTTCCCACACACGTGGCGTTTTCTCACCTACGTTTGCAGGAGAGACCGGACCCACTATGCCCCCCCCCCCCACCATCGAAAGGTTCTTCATGACTCCCGGGGGCCCCCGGGGAACCTGGGGGGCCCTATACACTGTGGGGGGCCCCTTCGAAAGCAGGTGGCCCCCTCCTGGGCGCAGGGGCGGATCCAGGAAAACTCCAAGGGGAGGGTCATGAATCGAAGTGGTGCCCCTACCTATACCCAAAATTAAAAACTCAACGGATTTCGTCCACTTAATTTTGGTGGTGCCCCAATTTTCAGTTTTTTATTTTTTTTTATTTTTAGTCAGTATCTTAACTCTTACCCACAACCACATTTACCAATTGTAAGCAAGTATATATGAATGTGTTATGTGTATATATGTTGTGGACGCTGAGTAGTGAGTACTTACCAGGAACGTTATCAGGTAAGCGAATCGTTGTCAGTCCGACGAACTTGACCCTGGCGTCTAAAGGGTCTGTCCTTGACACTTCAGGCTTGTCAGGGGCACCAAAGTCCTTCCAGGGACACCACAAACCTGTCAGGGGCACCTACGGCCTTGTAGGGGCGCCACAGGCCCGCCAGGGGCACCACAGGAAGCCAATGGAATTATATTATAAGTGAGCATGAACCTTACTTACGGTTAATTCATATGATGGTGAAAACCCTGAACACGTAATTTACATGACGGTGAAAACCCTGAACTATATAGCCTTGCCCTGAACACAATATTTCTTACGCGAGCTGTTGACTTTACTAATAAAATGACGTCTTCTTCTAAAAATGTAAAAATTTGATACTTTTTCTTTGTTTGAGAGCAAGTTTTTTGCTGTACAGCATTATTATTTATTAGTTATATTTTTCTGGCTGTTAATAGTGACACAAAACAATTTATTGTCAGTTCTTTGCTACTGACGTCATTTAAACTCAAGTAAAATTTTTGATTGAAAGAGGCAATTGTGGCTCGCACGTCCTTGGGGATTTGAGCGAAGATCATTATTTGGAAAAATTAAAATAGATGAATGTTTTTCTTTCTTGGATGCTCACTAGTGTTTTGAGGACGACGGTGAAAACAGGGCGCCTGGGGCGATTTGATCAAGGTTCGTGAAATTTACACGTGACGTTTAGCATGCAGAAGGCCCGCGGAAGGGGAGAAGCTCCAAATATCACGTGACTAATATGCCCTCCGGCGCCCTGTTTTCACCGGCGTCCAGGCGATGCCTTGCATATCAAATTAGTTTGAGACTTGCTCAGAAGGCTGCTTCAAGCCTGGCATATCACACCCCAGAAAATATGCAAGGTAAGAAAGAAGCAAGAGTTTTGACTAGACAATCACTGTTTGACAGTCCATCAACTTCAGTTTCATTTTTTCATACTAACATAATGAAAAGCATCAGGGTCTGTTGTTCTGTCCCACAACCATGCTTCAGGATTTGGCATTAGATGTCTACACTGTTAGTGCTTCTATTGTGGTTCATTGTTTATGTTTTCTATTGATGTAGGTACCTACCTACCCATCTTTCTTAACCCCTTGCAAGGGCTTGTGTAGGCATGCGTTGCGCAACAGGCTTCAGGCCTTTGGCCTAAAGACAGATACACAACCACTTAACCTATGATGCTTCATGAGCTTGAGAATCTATAGCCCATTGCAATGTGCTTTTGGCTATATGTTTCAACTAAAAACAACTTATTATATACTATTTGGTTGCATTTCATTGAAAGTATCCACGGCCGGCTGACGGCTGGCTGCCCACAGTTTGCCACGGCTGTTGGCGGCTGTGGCTGTGGAGCCACGGCTGCTGGGCGGCTAGGCTGTGGAAAATTGCAGCCGTGCAGAACTCTAGGGGGGGACGGCACCCAACGACTAATAGTTTTTTTTTTTTTTGCCGAAAACGGGGCGATAGAGAGCTGAAACTTGTGTTACGTGACCTTTGATCCAAGCCGCATTTTGTGACACCAACTGCATTTTCGGGTCACATCAGATCACTGACTTATGACGTCATAATTGAACCTCTGCACGGTCGTCAGATGTCGCAACTTCACAACGCTCTCAGTGCCAGAGGAGCTTTCACAGGGGGATGGAACTTACAGGACCTATGTAGTATCCTCCAGAGGTCTCACATCCTGTATATCGGATCTTTTTTAACACTCGCTCCGACGGGGGTCTGCGCCAACTTCGTACCGACGGGGGGGGGGGGTGGATGACCGCCCCCCCCTGAGATCTCGATAACGAAGCAAGATAGCGAGTAGCGACAAACGGTAAACGGCATCGGATACGTACGGACAAGGTTTACAATTTTTACAAAGGTCATTTTCAGGTCAGGTCAAAGATGACGTGACAAGGGTCAAAGTCAAAATGGCGGCGCTAGATATGGATAAAGTTTTTCTCGAATAACTTTCGAATTAGACAAGATAGGAACAAACTAATGGCATCATCGTGATCCACTCGTCAATCCGCATCGAATGATATATATGTTGACCTCGAAAGGTCAAGGTCAAAGGTTGACCTCAGGTCACGTGACCTCAAGGTCATCATGTATGTCATTCGATGCGTCTTGACGAGCTGAACACAATGAGACTGTTGTGTATTTGCCTTGACCAAGCTGGCCGGCAGGACTTTAGCTATTGCAGTGTTTTAGAGGACGTGTCAGTTGTTGTCTTCCTTTTTCACGGGGCCTCTCTGTTGCCCATATATGGCTGGTTGTTGTCAAGGTTGTGTGTCCGACGTAGTGCGACTGACTGCGCAATACAAGCTCTAACCCAAGATAAAGTCTCAGCTATGAAGTAGCACGGACAAATCTCACGACACAACAAAATTGGCGACGACGAACGAGATAAAGAAATCAAAAAGTGAGATAAAGCTGAGATAAAATGAATAAGAGCTAAAAGGAGATTTAAGGAATGTCACAAGTGCGCAACAATTGTCGCAAGGAAAGAAAAGCTGAATTTCGATGCAAATGAAGATATAAGGAGTTGTTAAAAAGGAAAGAAAGCGAAAAAGGAACCAGAAAAACAAGTTAAAGTGGTTAAATTCCGTATTTGAACTCTCAAAAAGAAATTAAAATGGCTACGAGTCTGCCACCGCCACCGGGTATGCAAAAAGGTGAGGATTTTGGTAAATGGATCAAATCAGTTGAAATTTACATGGGTGCTCAAAATATTGAATCATCTGCTCAAAAAGTGAACATCGTGCTGCATCTTCTTGGCCCGGATGTACAAGAAATTGTTGATACGCTGCCTGATATAGCTGATGTAACCGACCCATACGTCAAACTGAGAGCACAATTGGAAAAGCATTTCAAGCCTCAAGTGAACACGGTGGTGGAGCGTCATGTCTTCAACATGATGCAATATGAAGGAGGTAGGGTAGAAGAGTATGTAGCCAAACTGAAAACGCAAGCAAGAAAATGCAATTTTGAAGCTTCGGAAATGGACAATCTGATCAGGGACAAGCTCTTAGCAACGTGCCCATCCTCCAAGGTCAAGGAGTCAATGCTCAAGGAAAGAGTGCTGACCCTATCGCGTGCCATTATGGTATGGTCAACTGACGCAACAGTGAATGAACAAGTAAGAAGAATGGGAAAAAGTGCACAAGAAGAAGCAGTGAACAAGGTGAAGTGGCTGAACAAAGAAAGAAATGAATCACTGAAGGAAAGAAGGAAACCATGGAATGTAAATGAAAGAAAGAGCCATGAAGAGAAGAGGCCATGGAAAAATGCAAATGGTCAAGGGAAGACATGGAAAAATGAAAACAATGAAGAAAACAGGAAGTGGAAGTTGGAGAAACCTGAAAGGAGACATTGCTTCAGGTGTGGGAAAACGAACCACCTGATCAAGTTGTGCAGGGTACCACCCCACGTCAGATGCCATAACTGTGGGAAACAAGGACATCTGGAAGCAGCGTGCAGAAATGGAAAAACGCTGAATGTGGAAAAAGAAGACCAAGATGATGAAGTTGAAGAAAATCTGTGTGTGTACCAAAGCACATCAAAAGGGAAGGAAGCCATCAAAGTGAACATGGCTGTCAACGACAAGAACGTCACGTTCATTGTGGACACAGGCTGTCCGGTAACCATGATTCCAGAAGCGCAGGCTGAAGGCCTCAACTTGAAGAATACCAGATGTAAGCTCACATCGTACACAGGACATGAAATACCTGTCAGAGGAATGACAGAAGTGGATGTGCAGTACGAAGGTCAAATGAAGAAGAAGATGCCAGTATATGTAGTGGGAGGAAATGGTCTATGCCTCCTTGGAAGGAACTGGCTGCATGAAATCAAGCTGAACTGGTCAAGTCTGGTTGGTCAAGTGAAAGAAAAACCTGAACCACAAAAGAAGATGAAGAAGCTGAGTGAAGTGCTGAAGGAACATGAAGAACTCTTCAGTGATGAACTGGGAACAATGAGTGGTCAGGAAGCTGATCTGGAACTGAAGAAAGACGCAGAGCCCGTCTTCAAACCAGCAAGGTCAGTACCTTACAGTCTGACTGATGCAGTGGAAAAGGAGTTGGAAAGATGGAAGACGCTGGGAGTAATCGAAGATCTCCGAGATGATGAACCAACGCCGAAGTGGGCAACACCACTGGTTGTGGTGCCCAAACCAGATGGAAGCGTACGCCTCTGTGGCGACTTCAAAGTGACGCTGAACCAGTACCTGAACGTACCGGTGCATCCTCTGCCGAAGACCGAAGACTTGCTGGCAACCATCGGACCTGCGAAGTTCGTATCTGTGGTGGATCTGTCGCAAGCCTATCTGCAAATGAAGTTGTCAAAAGAAAGTCAGGAACTGTGCTACCTGAACACGCCGTTCGGACTGAAACGGATGCTGAGGCTCCCCTATGGAGTCGCGTCAGCTCCAATGCTCTTTCAGAGAGCGATGGACCGAATCTTGAAGAAAGTACCAGGTGTCAAATGTTTGCTGGACGACATCCTCATCACAGGAAAAACTGAAGAAGAAGCCTTGAAGCGGCTGGATGAAGTGCTCCAGATCCTGAAAACAAACGGTCTGCGCCTCAAGAAGGAAAAGTGTCAGTTCATGGCGAAGGAAGTTCGCTATCTGGGAGTGCGATTGGGTGCAAACGGAATCCGACCTGATCCCGAGCGAGTGAAGCCGGTGCTGGAGGCAAACGCGCCAACAAATCAAAGAGAACTACGTGAGTTCTTGGGAGCTGTAACGTTTTACAGCAAGTTCCTGGAAAATCTGTCGAAGATGGCGAAACCACTAAATGAACTCCTGAAGAAGGACAAAGAATGGAAGTGGTCGAAGGATTGTGAAGAAAGTTTTACGAGAATCAAAGCCCGCCTGGCATCTGCTGAAGTGCTCCGACACTTTGACGTGAAGGAACAGGTGACTGTCATCACCGATGCCAGTCCACATGGTCTGGGGGCAGTCCTGGTGCAGGGTGCTCCCGAAAGACCTGTGCTGTACGTGTCAAGATCACTCAGTGAACATGAAAAGAAGTACTCACAAATCGAAAAAGAAGGACTCTGCATCGTTTGGGCATTCGAAAGGCTGAAGCAGTTTCTGTACGGACGTCACTTCAAACTCGTGACCGATAACAAGCCACTGGCTCAGGTGATCGGTCCCAAAACGCCACTGCCAACGTTAGCAGCAAGCCGAATTCAGAGATGGACAATGAAAATGGCAGAGTACGACTTCACCGTGGAAGTCAGGAGGTCTGAACAGATACCGGTAGCAGACTGGCTATCGCGTCTACCAAAAGGAACCTCCGTGGTGAATTCAAGTGCGCCAGAAGATGAATGCACCGTGTGCCTGATTGGCCAGTTGAGTTCTCTCAACCCAGTCACTGCTGCAGCGATCCAGCGTGAGACGACAAGAGACCCGCTGCTCGCAAAAGTGGTCAACTTCGTAAACAAAGGATGGCCAGACAAAGTCGGAGAAGCTCTACATGCGTTCAAGGTCAGACAAACAGAGCTGACGGTGGAGCAAGGATGCCTAATGTGGGGCTGTCGAGTGGTAGTTCCACCGAATCTGAGGGAAAGAGTTCTTGAAGAACTACATGAAGGTCATCAAGGAATGGTCAGGATGAAGCAGCTGGCCAGGATGCACGTCTGGTGGCCAAACATGGACAAAGAAGTTGAAGCAGAAGTGCGAAGATGCCAAGGATGCTGGCAAAAGAGAGCTGAACCACCATGTACGGACCTGCATCCATGGGAGTTTGCAAAGGGTCCGTGGCAGCGAATCCATCTGGATTTCGCTGGCCCAGTTGATGGGAAGCTGTACGTTGTCCTCATCGACAGTTTCTCGAAGTGGATGGAAATCGCTCCAATGAAGCACATCACATCAGAAAAGACTATCGAGTATCTCCTGAATGTGTTTGCACGGTTTGGCCTACCTCACCAAATCGTCACAGACAATGGACCGCAACTCGTCAGCAAGGAATTCGAAGGATTCTTGAAGCGGAATGGAATTCGGCATGTCCGAACCGCACCGTTCAAACCCACAACGAACGGAGCAGCAGAGCGAGCTGTTGGCTGTCTCAAGGGCTACCTGAAGGCCACAAGTGGAAAGAAGATGAACCTGCCAAACTTCCTGATGGCGTATCGAAACACTCCACAGGCTACTACAGGAAGAACGCCCTCCGAACTGATGTTGGGACGACAGCTACGTACGAGGCTAGATCTTCTGAAGCCTGATCTGACCTCTCAAATCCAGAACAAGCAGCAAACGCAAGTCGAGCGACGTCATGGTCAACCTCGACAGGTTGCCATCGGTGACGCGGTCCTCGCCCGAGACTACCGCGGTCGCGGAAAATGGGCGGAGGGAGAGGTGATGGATGTGGTAGGGACCAAGCACTACCTGGTTCAGGTACATGACCAGGTCTGGAAGCGCCACATCGACCAGTTGCTGCAAATCCCAATGGCGTCTCCTCGTCATCCGCGTCCGACTATGCAAGAAGACGACGACGAAGGCATCCGACGGGAAATCGTTGTTCGTTGCCCGGAGTCGCTGTCTGCAGAGCAGGAACCGTTGTCATCTCCCCCGGAAGCTCAACAAGAACCAGCACGCGAGCCGACGCCCGTGCGCGAAGGAGCTGCTGCTGAACAGGCCGCTGACTCGCCCAGACGTCCAGCGCCGCTATCAACCCGACAGCCGGCGCCGGAGCCTGAAGTGGTGCTGAGGCGCTCAACCCGGACACGGGTACCAGTGAAACGCCTCAACCTGTAGCCGAAGCTTATGTAGATGTATGTATGTGATCTGTGTGCTGGCTTCTAAAAATTGGTTTCGTGTGATTTCAAAAGCTGAAGCTTAATTTAGTGGGGAGGAGTGTTGTGTATTTGCCTTGACCAAGCTGGCCGGCAGGACTTTAGCTATTGCAGTGTTTTAGAGGACGTGTCAGTTGTTGTCTTCCTTTTTCACGGGGCCTCTCTGTTGCCCATATATGGCTGGTTGTTGTCAAGGTTGTGTGTCCGACGTAGTGCGACTGACTGCGCAATACAAGCTCTAACCCAAGATAAAGTCTCAGCTATGAAGTAGCACGGACAAATCTCACGACACAACAGAGACCATCCACGCGGCTGTATCTTGTTCCTGTACGGAGTTATTGGCAAAAAACCGCTGGTGACCTTTGATGACGTCACATGACCTTACAGCTGCCCAACAGCAAAACTGACCTCAAGGTAGTGAAGGTTAATCGTATATGAAGTCGTGCATGGTATATGGGGCCATTCCGACCCATTTTAGTGGTAAAAACAGGGAGTTGATTTTTCCCCCATTGACTTATAATGGGGAGGTCGCGAAATTGACCTGACCTTAAGTCACCGATATAAAAATTCCGAGATATACAAATTGTAGATACTAATGACCTTATAACATGCTGCGACATTCAAAGGCCTCCGACATCTACTGTAGCTCTGGCACGGTGACAAAGTTGCAAAAAAGTGACCTGAGGTTGGGTCATTCAAAGTGACCTGGTGACCTGACCTTAAAAGTTAGGAGGTTTAAACTTGCACACCATGTGTAAAATTAATAAGAGATTATTCGTACTAAATTTCGCGGCGCTACGCGCCGCGGTTTTCCCGCTATTCGCGAAAAACCTCAGGGGGGCGGATATCCGCCCCCCCCGTCGGTGCGCGTGTTAACCCGGCAGTTGCTGGGGTATTTCGCCACCCACCGTTTGCTGGGGGGGGGGGGCGTTAAACGCCCCCAGCCGATAACTCGAGAACCAATAGGCGCAGCGAAACGCACGAGCCGGCAAACGAAAGAACGCGACGAGACGCTTCAAATGAGTACTTTAACCCGCGCACCGACGGGGGGGCGGATATCCGCCCCCCCCCCCCTGAGGTTTTTCGCGAATAGCGGGAAAACCGCGGCGCGTAGCGCCGCGAAATTTGGTATGACTATTCCCTTATCAATTTTACACATGGTGTGCAAGTTTGAACCTCCTACCTTTCAAGGTCAGGTCACCAGGTCACTTTGAATGACCCAACCTCAAGTCACTTTTTTGCAACTTTGTCACCGTGCCAGAGCTACAGTAGATGTCGGAGGCCTTTGAAAGTCGCAGGATGTTATTAGGTCATTAGTAGCTACAATTTGTATATCTCGGAATTTTGATATCGGTGACCTAAGGTCAGGTCAATTTCGCGACCTCCCCATTATAAGTCAATGGGGGAAAAATCAACTCCCTGTTTTTACCACTAAAACGGGTCGGAATGGCCCCATATACCATACATGACTTCATATACGATCAACCTTCACTACCTTGAGGTCTGTTTTGCTGTTGGGCAGCTGTGAGGTCATGTGACGTCATCAAAGGTCACCAAAGGTTTTTGGCCAATAACTCCGTACAGGAACAAGATACAGACGCGTGGATGGTCTCATTGTGTTCAGCTCGTCAAGACGCATCGAAAGATATACATGATGACCTCGAGGTCACGTGACCTGAGGTCAACCTTTGACCTTGACCTTTCGAGGTCAACATATATATCATTCGATGCGGATTGACGAGAGAATCACGATGATGCCCTTAGTTTGTTCCTATCTTGACTAATTCGAAAGTTATTCGAGAAAAACTCTCTCCATATTTAGCGCCGCCATTTTGACTTTTTCGACCCCTGTGACGTCATCTTTGACCTGACCTGAAAATGACCTTAGTAAAAATTGTAGATCTTGACCGTGCGTATCCGATGCTGTTTACCGCTTGTCGCTATCTTGCTTCGTTCTCGAGATCTAAGGGGGGGGGGCGGTCATCCGCCCCCCCCCCCCGTCGGTACTAAGTTGGCGCAGACCCCCGTCGGTGCGCGGGTTAAAGTTGAATTTTGAGGTCACAGGTCGGGTCAAGGTCAGGTCAAACACCTGAAATCGGGCTTTCAGTAGCATTGACTTCAGGACTTCGCAATGGGCGCCTCTCGTCATAAACTCTGTCAAAACGGTGCACAATCCATCATATAAGGCCTACAAGAGTGTCAGCTCCATGTAGGGGTCAGTCAAGCATAGGTCAGGGTCAAGGTCAGGTCAACCGGGTAGGCACATATCCCCGAAAATCAAAACTGATATTCGCAGCCTGTGACACATGTTTTTTAGGTAATTTGGGGCGTAGAACACGATGGTGACATTCATTTTATCATATGTGTACGTGTTTGGCTCAAAAAGTTCAATTTAAGAAATGCATGCATCATGGTCGTGAAGTAGTCACGAAAAATTGCCAAGATTCAGTTCAAGATTATGGAAAATGCGGAGCGATAATCAATAATCGAAGATAGCCATTTGATTTATCATGGTATTGGCAGTCTAATGGCGTTTAAGGCATGTCTGTATTTCTATTCTGTGATTTTATATGATTTTTTTAACATATGCCGTTTTTGGTCGAAAACTCAGAAATCATGACGTCACTAAAAACGCGATATTTCAAAAATTTTCCGACTGATTTTTTTGAAACTTTGTCACAATAAACTTCGATCAATTCCCTACAGGTACCCAAAATTTGGCGCGCATGCGGCGCGCCGTTTTTATGCTATGGCCCGGCGAAAAAAGTGGGGGCGTTTAACGCCCCCCCCAGCAACTCGCGGGTTTAACGCCCCCCCCCCCCAGCAACTCTCGGGTTAACCCGCGAGTTGCTGGGGGGTGCGTTAAACGCCCCCACTTTTTTCGCTTGGCCATAGCATAAAAACGGCGCGCCGCAGGCGCGCAAAATTTTGGGTACCTGTATGGAATTGATCGAAGTTTATTGTGACAAAGTTTCAAAAAAATCGGTCGGAAAATTTTTGAGATATCGAGGTTTTAGTGACGTCATGATTTCTGAGTTTTCGACCAAAAACGGCATATGTTAAAAAAGTCATATAAAATCACAGAATAGAAATTCAGACATGCCTTAAACACCATTAGACTGCCAATACCATGATCAATCAAATGGCTATCTTCGATTATTCATTATCGCTCCGCATTTTCCATAATCTTGAACTGAATCTTGGCAATTTTTCGTGACTATGTACTTCACGACCATGATGCATGCATTTCTTAAATTGAACTTTTTGAGCCAAACACGTACACATATGATAAAATGAATGTCACCATCGTGTTCTACGCCCCAAATTACCTAAAAAACATGTGTCACAGGCTGCGAATATCAGTTTTGATTTTCGGGGAAATGTGCCTACCCGGTTGACCTGACCTTGACCCTGACCTATGCTTGACTGACCCCTACTTGGAGCTGACACTCTTGTAGGCCTTATATGATGGATTGTGCACCGTTTTGACAGAGTTTATGACGAGAGGCGCCCATTGCGAAGTCCTGAAGTCCATGCTACTGAAAGCCCGATTTCAGGTGTTTGACCTGACCTTGACCCGACCTGTGACCTCAAAATTCAACTTTAAAGTACTCATTTGAAGCGTCTCGTCGCGTTCTTTCGTTTGCCGGCTCGTGCGTTTCGCTGCGCCTATTGGTTCTCGAGTTATCGGCTGGGGGCGTTTAACGCCCCCCCCCCCCAGCAAACGGTGGGTGGCGAAATACCCCAGCAACTGCCGGGTTAACGGGAACGATGTCACATTAACTTTACCCGCGCCCCAGTGGCAGTCTCAGCCAACTTCGCCCTAGTGGGGGGGGGGGGGGCATATGTTACCACCCACCTCTATCTCAAAAACTAAGAGGGCTAGAAAGACGCGGTAAAAAGCAGTCGACAGCTTCAATGCGTACGTTTGAAAGTATTTCAGTCATTTTTCATCTTAGAGCAATATTGTGGTCACCAAAACCGCGGCGGCGCGAAAAACGCAAAAAACGCGACAGGGTGGTATGCCCCCCCCCCCCTCACTGTGGCGAAGGTTAACCACATGGAATCGTGATTTCATGCACTCCTTGCAAGTTGCAATGTTTCACTTTTGTATTGTTGACCTTGCGTGACGTCATTTATGACGTCACTAGGGTCATAATAGTTTTTCGTCAATAACTCCTGATCAAATTGAGCTATCGAGCCGGGACAGCCACCAATGGCATCAGAAAGACCTGCCGAATCGAATGATATGCAAAATGACCTCATTTGACCAGCTTCGTGACCTGGGGGCTCTGACCTGACCGTGACCTTAGGTCAACACCACAAGTTGACCTTGCCCGAACAAAAAGTATACCATTCGACGCGCCTGAGCAAGGCGAACACGATGATGCCAAAATCGCAGCTCTGCGGCCGTTTTTTGCGAAGGTTTTGGCCAAAAACCGAGCCCTGGGCCACTTGACCTGACCTCAGAGGTCACCGGTTAACCTGAGACCTTAACCCTCGCCGGCACAGGCCATTTTGCGTCCTTCGACGGCACGAGGGGGGTTGGTTGGTAAGACCCCCTCCTCGCGTTTGGCCCCTGATCGAGCTAGAGCTTCGAGGAAAAAAAAACGAGCGTGTTGCCCGTCACGAGAGTAAACCGATGATATCCAATTTTAACCCTCGCCGGCACAGGGGGGGTGATGCAACCACCCTTAAGGTTTTTCGCAAATAACTCGCGTAAAAAGCGGCCGATCGCGACGAAACTTTCAGTACATTCGCATTGATCAATTTTACACCTACCCTGAAAATTTCCTGACCCTGACCCAAATAACCTTTGACCTGTGACCTCTTTTCCGAGACCATGTTTGGCCGGAATCGAATTCGGCGTATGTCGGCTCGCATTTGCCGCGCGTTAACCCTATTCCTGGCGGGGGGAGGGGCCTCAGGACCCCCCCTGAGGTTTTTTGGTTATTTCTCCCA